AATTTAAGGAAGAGAGACAGTTTGGAGCCAAGCTTCTTAATCCTTAAAAGAAGAATATAGATTCATTTTTATACCTTGCAACCTGAGGGGTGAAGAAGTAGTAACAAAACTCAAAAGAAAGCATTTTCCAATGATTTATGTGTATATCAAGATTTTTGCTTATTTATGAAACTGTCTTTGCCTTTTGAAGACGGTGAAGCAGAGGGTGGAGATACACCTGGAATAAGAGATTGCCCATCTCCAAGTCTTCAAAAGACCCCCACCCACGCAGTAAGTCCACATCACCCACACGAGGGAGCTCTGACTTGTGTGTCAGTTACAAACAAAAAGTCTGACATTTCCTCTCTGCTCCTCTCAGCCGTGCTCTCCTGGACCTCCTGCCCGACCAGCGAAGGAGGAAGACGCAGACAGTCAGCCTCGGACGCCGAACCCCACGAGCCAGCCGCCGAGCAAGCCTGCAGGACCCAAACCGGCTCCTGTGACTCCAACCAAGCTGCTTCCCGCCCCGTTACCTTCCTCTCCAGTCCACTACCCGGGACCCTCCCTGCTGCACTCCCCCAAACCTCAGCCGCAGGGCTCCCCCTACCGCAGCCAGAGGGCGCTGTTCTCCTCTCAGCCTCCAAACCAACCCCAGCAACAGGCACAGGCGGGCCCTGCTACTTTCCCCCAGTACAACGCCCAAAGTGCTCCTCCCCCACCTCCCCCTCCTCCTCCAGCACCACCAGTCTCAGCAGCTTACTTCCCCAACCAGAGCCCCTCACCTGCCGGACCTTTCCCTGGTTTTAAACCCACGGTCAACCCCTCTTACCCTCCTGGTTCTCAGCCCATGCTGCAGACTCTCTCCCACAGCGTCCACTTTCAGAACTCGGCTGCTCCTCCACCACCTCCTCCTCCGCCCCCCCACCCGATGCCCGGCCCCACCCTCCTCCACTTGCAGCCTCCCATCCAGCAGCACCAGCTCATGCTGTCCACAGCTCCTCCTCCGCCTCCTCCTCCACAGGGCCCGGTCTCCCAAGCGCAGCAGCAGCAGCAGCAGCCGCCTCCTGGTGGCAGCACCTTGCTCTCACTCACCCCTCCTCCACCTCCTCCCCCCCCTCCGCCTGCCCCCTCGTCTAATGCCCCGATGCAACCCCTCCACTTTCAGAACTTAGCGGGTTTTCAGCCTGCGTTGCTGCACCCGGGCGCTGCTGCCAACCCTTCAGTGCCCCCATCTTCGTACCCCCCACCCCTCCAGCAGACAGGACTGCCTCCACCTCCCCCTCCACCCCCCCAACAGACTCAACAAGGCCAGGCTCAGGCCGCCGCCTCCCAGATGCCTTCTGGGACTCGTGGAGCCCCTGCGTCCTCGACCCCTTTCCACAGCTCAGGGTACCTGAGCACAGGGTGGCACTGACCTCCCCCCTCCCACATCCGCCCCCGAGAACTCTACCTGAGGGGGGCGCTGTACCATAAGCTGTAGATATGTTTTCTATTTACCTGAACATACGGCCAGTGGAAAAACAGCGGATTGTGGGTGAAAAGGATGCTTTTTAAAAAACAAGAAAAACATGGACAGAAAAATTTTAGAGAAATGGACATTAAATAATCTTCAAGATAAACTGTAAAAAAAAAAAAGTGAAGATGGACGATCGCCCCGGTGCTCATAGCTCCCTCTCTCTGGCCTCTGTTTGTTTTTATATAACCTCCCTGTTATGGAGAGAAAGCTCTCTGTTCTGTGTCTTGTTTGGACTCCCATTGTAAGGCCCCGCACTTTGTTAATCAATGGACATTCCAGCCTTTACCCCCCCCCCCACTCGGCTCCCCCTTCTTCCTCCTCTTTCCTATGTCGGTTATTCCTTTTAACTTCCTCTTCTCTCTCGTCTGTTGTCGGCTCTCTACACCGTTTTATTTGTTTTAATCTAGTGGCTCATTATAGCAAAAGAAGAAAGCTTTTTGTATAGAGAAAAAAAAACACACAATTATTTTTTTTATTACTCTAACAACAAATATCTGTTCACCGCTGCAGATTCAGAAAAAGACCCCGTTTCTCGGAGCCTGCCTCACCGACCTGGGAGGCTGCACTCGTGTGTATGTATGTGTGTGTGTGAATGTGTGTTTGTGTGTGTGTGTGTGTGTATGTTAGGGTTTGGAGGAGAATGGCTGCTTGGAGGAGGTTTGAGATGTCGTGTAACGAGTGCTCGTAGTCCTCCAAGATAGGCAGAGTGGTCTAGCCCGCAGGTAGGACGTTAGCGGTTTATTTTTGAATATCAATGGTTATTTGTAGAAAGTGTAATTTAATGTATAGGTGGTTACTCCAGCTTTCACCAGGAACAGTTTGTAAATATTTGCTTCTTTTCTTTTCTATGCTTGTACAATTTGCTCCCATCCCATTTTGAAATATGGTTGTACATATGAACGCTCTTCTTGGCAAAACTGAATGTTTCTGTGACTGTAGCATTATTTTTATTTTCTCCCCACCCTGCCCCACCCTCCCCCCTCTCTCTGGACTCTTTAACTTTGTCTTTTTTTTATTATTTGTGTGTGTGAGTGTATGTTTGTGTGGAGGGGAGAGACTCACAGACACTGCACTGGTTGGCTATTTTCATGGTTCATTATAATAAATCACTGTAATGACAGTTTTATACAACTTGTCTTGACATGTGTTTCTGCGATATTTTGTGCCGCTGTCTCTGTTGTCAAGTTCAACAGCAAATATTTGCTCAGCGTTTCGGCCTTATGGTGAGAAGACGGGGAACAACCGAGGACAACATGACGTGCTCCTGCTGCTGCTGCAGAGATTTTACCAGTGGGAAGTCAATTCAAGAATCATACCTGCACAGTTTTCTCCTTCCTGGTTCCTCTTTGTTCACTTCAAAGCGTGCCAACATGAGAAAGAAATCCTTTCATGCTTCAACTGTTTCAAAGTACTTTTTCAAACGAGCTTTGGGAATGAGGTACGGTGTGAATCTTACAGGCTAAACTGTAATAATCATCCTGCTAAACTTCTCGATGGTAAACTGGAAATCGAGCGGTGAAGAACCAAAGAGGCCACAGCGCTCAGTGTTTTTATATCGCTTAGCGTGGAACGTTGAGATGAAGGGCCTATCTACGTAATTACGACCCGACTTAGCTCCGCCCCTTAAACTAGAACTGAAACTTGAGAAAATTGTAATAACGGTCAAAAATCGGAAATCAGTCAAACATAGTTCTCAGTCTTTTCACGATGTTTAAAGCTTTCTTCTTGCAACATATTTAGCGTGCTTGGAGACGTATTGCTGATTTTACTTTACAGGGACTTTGAAGAAATAAAAGGAATATTGATAAGAGAGAAGAGGACACAAAGAAGACATCTGATGGTTCATGAACTAACTAATGATTTATAAATATGCAAAGTATAAAAGTAACCACCTTAAAGGGAAAGAATCTGGCTAATTCAGTAATCTGTTGACATAAATTTAACTGTTCTATTATCCTGTGGTGCAGTGTTCCTTGACCTTTTTGGTCCTTGGAGCCACCGCAGGACTCGCATGGAAGAAGTGATACACTGCTGTCAAAAAATTCACTTCAGTTAAAACAGTTTTCATGGATAAAATCCTGACAGAATAAGCAAACGAACGTGTTCTTACCAATAATCCTTTGTGCCAACTAACCAGTGAGTGCGTCATTTTTACTTCATGTGTGCAAATCCAACTTCCGCGACCTCGGAGCAGACAAAGCCTCCATAGCTGTCCTTTCAGAATAAAGGCAAAATCCCATCAGTGAATTTATTTATTTTGAAAAACCAGGAGGCCATCATGCACAGAAGAGCATCTTCTTGATTTGACGACTTAACCTCTTCGCTGGAACCTCCCACACTTTGAACGCAGCTTAACTTTAGTTCTGCTCTGCCAGCGGTTTGAATCTAAAAGTAGAAACCTTTGTTGTGATTTTTACATCCATCTCTTTTGTTATTTGGTTTTTTAAAGGTCGTCTGCTTTGTCAGCGCCCTTCAACATATCCTGTATTTAACAAAGAGGCTGTGATTTCTTTTGTTGCACACGCTCAACCTCCTGCAGGCTTTGTTGGGATTTATCTGAGCAGATGGCCTTGCACACCGCCGCCTCTGATCCAGTATCCTGCACGCATGTCAAATCCGATATTTCCATTTTGGCCGGCCTTGTTGAATCCACGAGGGTCCTTGATGATTGGGATGGCGCTGCTGCTGCCATCACCGTGGACAAGCGTCACAAAACCACTCAGGATCGGTCTCTTCTCTTATCTGGCTGCAGTTAGAGTCGGCACTCTCAGTTGTGAAAAAAGCTGTTCAATTATTTTACATAACAGAACAATTTGAAACTCAGATTTCTTAAATACTTCAGAGTTAAAGGACATCTATTCTTCTCACTTTCACCGTTCATTATGTCAGTCTGGGACACCTCTTGAGTAGCATTGCTAGATGTGTAGCTCAAATAACTCCTCATTCATCTTACACTGGAGTTAGTAAAATCCCTCGTTTCAGCTACTGCCTGAAACGGTTCATTTCAGCTGCTGTCTCTTTAAGGCCCTCCTCCCCAGTTTGTGCCCACTTTCCTCTGATTGGCCAGCTCTGTTAGCAATGACAGTTCGAGCGAGCATGTCCTAACCTGCTCGTCTCTCGCCGAGGTTAAGTATGGACATCAAGCATCATGACGTGTGAATGTCGAGCGATTTTACTCGTCTTTTTTTTTTTTACTAGTTCCTTATCCAGAAAAAGATGCTACGCTTGATTACGGTAATACAAAGTTATTCATTTTGATAGACCCGTACAGAAAACGGCTGAACATGTCCTCGTCATGAGTGAGAGTTTGCCTCTAGTGGACACTGGATGAACTGCACTTCAGCATTGGCTTCATTTTTTAACACTGGAGGTTGCTGTTGCTGTTTAGCCGTTATTTAAGCAAAGATACTAAAACCGAAATAAGTGGCATTAATGTCATAGTTCTGCTAGCTAACGCTTACCCTCTGCCATAAACAATCATATTTACCAAAGTGTCAGCCTCATGTATTTAAAGTGTTTGAACTTTTTATTTCATCAAAGTGAAAATAACAGTTTAATGTAAGATAGACACTCCTCGTGTGTGTACTCGCTCTTTAAGCTTTCAAGACAGGACAAAAAAAAAAAGATTACAACAAAGAGTCCCAACATATCCAGCGTCACATCATGTCCCCTTTAGTTGTTGTTTTTCTTCTTAAGTGCTCCATAATACTGTTAGAATACAAGATACTATATGGCTCACAATAATAAAGGACACACAGCTTCACTTTTCAGAATGTACGCTTCAAAGTCGAGACAAACCACAGCGACATGATCAACATCACACAAATTATAGACTTCATACAACTGTTGTTTTTGTTTTTTTGTCAGACTCGTCACTAGCCACACTTTAAATTACTACTTTTGATTCCATTTACATCAAACATTTAATCATAACAAAAGTGTTTGTTCGTCCAGTTTTTTTTATTTATTTTATTTTTCTCCAGTCCTCTCTCTCCTTGAAAAGTCAGAGAGTCCAGAAAGTAAACTCCTTCTTTTTCATGGAGTTTGTTAACTTGATGCAAAGGAAGTCGTGACAGCTTTGACCTCGAGTCTGTTAAGTCCTTGTTTGTGTCGGTCAAAGTCTGGGCAATTTGTGTTGATTTAATTCGATTTGAGCGGTCCCGTCGCTCGCCGCTCTTTGTCCAAACGAATGTCCTGGAGCTGAATGACAACATGAGGACTCTCTCTAATTACATTTTTTTTTAATTCCCCAGCAGATCCTGGGCACTTGATCAGCCTTCCTCACACCCACAAGAAGAACGTATCAGCTTGGACAGCTCGGGGTAAGATGATGCAGTGACAAACTAAAAGGTAAACTCTTTTTTTTTTTTTTATTATTATTTTTTTTAAAGAGTTTCTCCTGCAGGATTAAAAAGATTGAGATGAACAAGACGACTATTTTACATCGGGAGTTTTCAGAGACTCTGTTAAGGAGGCGTCCTCGTCCTTAAAAAGGTTGTGTGGCCTTTTCCAGACCTCCTCATCCCCTTCTTTTTTTTCTCTTGTTCTGTTCTTTCCCCCACGTAAGCTCTGCGTCACAGCCACAGGTTGAACTGGGACAGGGAAGCTGGATCCTCTAGTAACATCACATCTTGGCAGTAAGACCTGCAGACGAAAAGAGAAATGGGATAAACTCTGCAGAAACTGTTGTTGAATACGTAGATCCGATCTCCTTTGGTTTTCAAAACATCTGATTTAAAGTTCCTGTGAGGAGTTTGTAGCTGGTTTTAAAACAGGCTGAAATTACTACTGTTGCCTCTTTACGAGCTACAAAAGAGAGAGAGACTACTCTCACATGTACAGGACAATATCCGAGAAGAGGTGTGATGTACTGCTTTGACCACAGGGGGGCGCCATAATCAACATGAACTAAAAGTTCCTCACAGGAGTTTTAATCAAGCAAGGTAATAAACAAACTTACAAATCCAATCAGCTTCATGAACACAGAATTAGCTAATCAAACAAGATGCTCAAAACAATACAAACATATTCAAATTTCAAATACAGTTTGATGCACAACAATTTAAGTGATTAGAATGATAAGAGTGTTTATCTTTGATATCAAGTTTGAATATTTACTGATTATGTAAAAAAAAAATCAGTCACTGGTGAAACATTTAAATCATCAAGTTATTACATGATGATGTTTTTTGATTATGAATATCATTATTGTGATTAATACTGTTTTTTTTAATGATCCAAACAGGTTACTGAAGGAGCTTTTGATAACAGAAACAACGAGCTGCATCTTCTCTGCAGGGTCGGTGATTATAGAAACTCACAAAGTTTAACTTTGTGACAACTTTAAAATGGAGATTCAAAACTTTCAAAAGATAGAAAACATGTCAGACTTTAATCTGGATTCTTCATCAAAATAGCTCCATGACAAAAATTCCCAGAAAATATCACAGAAGTCCAAGGCCTAGTCGACAGGTAGGTGGGTATTTTTGAAAATCGAGTTTTTTCTGTGCGTTTTCACAAATAAAATCCTTACCTGTTTGTGTGCGACGACTTTACAAACACCAAACCTTATATGGCATTATTGCCGGCCTCTGTGAAGAGAAAAGAGGGAGAGACCTGCTCAGTATAGAGACGATACAATGACTGATACTTGCTGACCAGCAGGTGGCAGTGTTACATCAAACTTCGGCTCTTAAGGAACTAAACAAGCAGCATGAACTACATCCCCTCCCCCGTGTGCTCCTAACTCCTAACAGGTGTCACTCTCCATCCTCCTGAGTGACAGGATGGGAAAACATCCCGTCCAAACTTTGATGAATCTCCCTGTTTTCAATTCCACTCTCATATTTCTTCTACATCTGCCTCGGCTCATTATCCCTCTCCGTCTCGTCCTTCCTCTCTGCTCTATTGTTTGATAATGGCTTCATCCTCCTAGCAACATTTATTTATCTTTTGCTTCTAACAGTGGACTGTGTCCCGGCTGATAGGGTGTCTGTGATTCATTTAGACAGGCTGCCAGCAAGCTGTGTAAACAGCCATTAGTAATTCATGACTCCGTCCAGCATCCCCCCCGGCTTCAATTAACCTTCGCTATTGGTGCATTCTTCCTCCCAGTCACCCGTCTTTCTCTCCTTTTTGATCTTCAGCCTCCTTCATCTGTATTCTCTTCTCCTTCTTTGCTGTTTAAATCATCCTCCCCGGTGTCCGAGTGCAGTTGTCATCTCGCCCCAATCAAGAGAGAAAAATCTCAGTTCTAACAGAAGCGAGCGGAAGCAGCCGAGCAGGTGGTGTAAAACATTCCTCCTAATGTATGCAGGTGAGTTAGTCAAGTGTGGGAAATTATGCAGAAAGGAGATAAGGGTGTCTTCTTTTCTAATTCCAGCTGCTGGGAGATGGATTCAGTCTTATTGTTGCTTTGAGTTTTAATAGAAAGTCTAATTAAGCAGAAAATCTTTTTGATACAAGCCAGTTTTATTAACTTTCTTTTTACTTTGACTTTGCTCAGACTCGAGACTTTAAAATCTTAATTAATGGACTCCACGTGCCAAAAGTGGAATTCAATCTTGGCTGAACTGACTGAATGCTCGAGCCATAAATACACAGCGCAGACATTCAGGCCAGCATTCGTTCATTTTTTTTATTAGTTTGTTGGCACTTGTTTTGTTTTGTAACCTTGATTTCACACCAAACCGTCTCTGAGAAGTAAAACATTTGATACTCGTCTTTTGGTGTCTCACTTTCCAATCGGTGGAAAACCTATTGGAGGATGTTTTCTGACTTTTTTAGGATTCGCTCATCTTGACTGACAGCTGATCGATTGAGTGGATCAACCAGTTGGTGCAGAAGTTTCCAATCTTTCTGGTTTATAACCCGCTAAGGCGAAGTGATGATCTGCACCCTGCTGTGTCACATGTCTCCACCATCCTCTTACTGTCTCCCAGCAGCTCCTCAGACATCAGGCTGTCCTGGCGGTTTCCCAGGACGAAGGCGAGGAAGGACAGGATGAGGGCGTCCATGATTCCCATGATGGCGAGGATGTAGGCCCAGCGCACCGAGCAGGCCCCGAGCGTGTACTTGTCCGTCTGCTCGCCACACATCCGCTTCACCTCGTCGCTGTCCCAGCCGTCCGGGTAGATCATGCAGCCCAGGATCAGACATGTTCCTGGAACGGAGAGAGAGAGAGACGCAAAGGTGGGTCAGAGCTTCAGGGCGTCACTGCATACAGAGGGAGGAAATCTAAGGTACAAATAAAAGTCATATTAAATCTTTGTCAAATCAAAAGTACAAAGAAAATGCTCATCAGTCAGTCAACAAAAGACAGAATAGTTAAAGGTTGAAATGACTGAAATACATAAAAACTGAGAGTAGCTATTACAGAAATTAAAAAACTGTAAGGTTGATGAGCTTAGAGTGATTTATGAATCGATGAAATGTGTATCTAAAAGTTTTCAAAGACAGGAAGTAGCTCGCTTTAGGTCGGTATAAAACTCAGAAGTAAAGCTGAATGATTCGGATGAATGGCTGAAATAGTCTGAAGTGATGACTTGAACGCCTGTGAAGCTAAATGACTCTGGATTTATGAATCTGAGTTTGTTTGACAAGGTTGGAAAATGCTTGTTCAACGGTAGAGAAAATTGGAAATAAATGTCTGCAGCCTGCAAATTAGAGAGTGCACAGAAAGAGAGGGAGGGGATGACGGCGAGAGGTGAAAAAGAATGAGGCAGAGAGAGAAGGAGAATATGTTTCACAGCTCCATGTGGTGAGTCGGCTGAATTCATTAGCCTTCTGCTGCACTTAGCCGTTAGAGCAGAGTCATCTCACATCTCTTCAGCTGGCAGCGTGGATTTGTTTTCACATTTAGTCACTCACACAGTCAGCCGAGGCTATCGGGTGATTAACAGCTCTGACTGAGCTGTCCGTTTATCGTCGTCGAGAGTGAAGCCAAAAGTCTGATCTTGCAGGTTATGTGTTTGCATGCCTCTTTTTTTTTTTTTTAAGGTAACTTTTACATGAAGAGGTCGACTACGTGTGACAGCTTTTCAACATGATGTCTCCTTTGCCGTAAGAGAGATTTTTAAATTGTTTTAAAAGCTGTCATGGCTAAAGGAGGTTAAAAACAGTGGAGGCTTTTCACCAGGCAGTCACAGAGTTATAGGATATGTTGTGTTCATTATTCTGGAGCTTGACTCCTTTATGCTGTCTCCCAGTTTTATTTTGCCACATTGCAGACTTTTTGTAATATCGCTCCTACTGAGGCAATTATTTTAAACTTGTGCTGTGCCGCCAGGAAACTGAAGCAAATCCACAGAACGTTAATTAAATAATCAAATAATTCCCAATGCATTGATTTTAATCTACAGATTCAAAGACAGGCTGGAACAAGCAGATAGAGAGGATACATGAAGCTGTCACACTTTCCACACGGAAAAACCTTCTTTAAACCTCCTTGAAGCTGACAATGAAACATTTCTGCTCCGATGTGATGACGTGTCCTGATACGTCTGTCCATTTTTATTCAGACATGCCGGTGAGAAGAATAAACATCATTCGGATCATTTCTCACTTTGATTTCCAGAGAATGAACTCCCTCAGTCGTTCAGCAAGTGTGCAGGATTTCAAAAAAAAAAAGATCACTCACACAACGCTGCAGTGTCTACAAATGTTCAACAAATATGAATACAATGCGTTCTTTGTTAAGATGTCATTTGGGCTGATGTTTGATGTGTCAGCTGCTTTAGTTCCTCGTTTTCGGTGCATTATGAAGTTTTGGAAGCTTGTTTTTGGGTCTATACTGTTTCATTGTTTTTTTCCCTTCTCCAATTTATCCCTTGTGTTTTTGTGGTTATCCTCTCTGGGATAACTTTAAGACTCTCCTGGGTCCGCACCTGAAATTGTTATCTGTAAATTTAAAACAGAAACCTGACTGTCACCGGTTTATCTGATACATTCAGAGGCCTGTTTAGTTCTTCTCTTCTTCTGTTTTAGGCGTCTCTAAAGCTCAAACAAACTGAATGTTCCCCTCTTCTAAAAATAAAAACACAGCTGATTGAAGTTTTTAATTTCTGACTCTCTTGAGAGAAATTGCATTCTCACGTTCACACAACTCTTCATCTTTGAGCGTTTCTTCCACAGCACAGCAGCTTTGACTTTCTCTCTGTGCATGTTAGAGGATTGGGTACAGTGCACACACATCTCTCCCGTGTAAACAACCTGCTCTCCTGCAGGCTCTCTCCGCTGTAATATTAATAGAACGAGTCGAGCTGCCCGTTGTCTCGGCAGCAAATCTTAAATCTCCCACAGAGCTCGAGTGAAGGGGGAAATATGGTGGATCAAAGAGCTGTTTCTAACGCTCATCTGGATGCTGTTAGAAGTCCATTTCTGTGCTGCGGTAGTTGATAGTATCAGACTACCTAAAGCTAAATAGTAAGCTTTTCAAAGAGAAGGAAGTAGGTTTGCAGGACATGAAACTATCTCATTGGCATCAAAGGTTGATCAAAAAATCACAACGTTTCAATCCCTCTGAACCTTTGTCGAGTGTGTTCTCAAACAGTCTCCCCACAAGTCGTCCCTTTTTCCACAAATTGAAAGAATCTTATCTTTTAGCTTCAGCAGACTTGTTGCTCTTTCAAAAAAAAAAAAAGAAGAATCTCATAATTCGTTTCTATCCTCTAAACTGTGTCCAAATGGCTCTGAAGTCAGCTGAGGCCGATCTTTATCTCCGGGGGAAATTGCTTTGTTGTTAGCCTCGCACAGAAAATGTGTAACTACATGTGTTGCGTCTCTGCAGCCACAGTGAAACATGCAAGAACGAAACATTTCATTCTCCAGATGAAATAAACTCTCCTCCTCTTCTTCTCAGCATCCCGGCAGCCTGCACACACAATCCCGGGCCATAAATAATGAAAAGACATTACGAAACCCTCAGACGAGCCCGTTCCGTCGGCTCGTTTCCAGACTTCAAATGAGAGATGTTGGAGTGAACTCGAGCGGCTTGAAACATTCAGACTCGCGGTGCAGGAAACAGACGACCGATCTGTGGTTTTTGACACTTTCAAGTCATCTTAGGACAACTGAAGAGTGGAGCCGGATTCTTAAAGGAGGGACATGGAACTCTGACACTGCAGTCCAAACTCAAAACATCAAGAGAGAGCTGTCCCCCCCCCACACACACACACACACCCCCCCTCATCCCTAGAGTCAATGCAGGCTGAAGCTTCAGTGTTTGTCACCACAAACACTGAAGCTTCAGCCCGGCTATCGCACGTCCCACCGAAGAAGTTTGCCATTACAAAGTTTTTCAGACGTCCCTTTAATGACCGAGTGTCCTTGATTCATCTCTCTTAGACAAACACACACACACACACACACACACACACACACTTTAACCTTCCTTGAAGGCCTCCCAGCTGACAGCTGTTGGCAGCGACATGAGGACAATCAGACGAGGAGGTGTAATAATCTAGACCTCTGTGTCCAATCACTGCATGCTATTAAACACACACACACACACACACACACACACACACACACACACACACACACATTACTGCACCTCCTGTTCTCTGGACGTCATGGTTATTGGGGTGTGTGTTGATTGGCTGGAGTTACAGAGATCTCATCCTGTGTTCACTTTGCAGCAGCATCAAGGTGGACGCTGGTAAACGATGTTAATGGGAGTTCATCGGGGCAGAAACTGGCACCTTCTCCTCCACCCTGACCTCATCGCTCGTGCTCTACAGGGGGCTAAGCGAGAGTGTGTGTGTGTGTGTGTGTGTGTACTGAGCGATAGGGCAGCATGATTTGCAACATGAATCCCCCTCCCCTCCTCATTAACACTTATGAGGTTCAGTGATTCACAGGGTTTGTGCATCGGCCGCTCATGGAGCAGATTAATGAGCTGACCGAGAATTCATTTCCAACATGGATCACGTTTCAGCTTCATCGTGCCTCTTCGGAAACCAATGGGTGATGTCACAGAGACTCGTCCATGCTTTATACAGTAGAGGACGCTGAACATCACTGCGTCCTGTGAGCAGAAAGTTATCAATATTTTATCGACTATAAAACAACATCCGACAAACAGAGCCAGACGTTCTTTAGCCCATCGACGTCTCGTCTTTGGGTTCCAGAAGAGCTGTTTGTTAATGCTTCAATTTATTGGTTGTGACTTTTTCAAACAATCCCTCTAAATACTGGTGGTAAGAGAAATGCTATCGGGGCGTACATAATCATTTATTTATGCCGAAAAAGTGTCTGAGTTTAGACAACAAAGCTGGTTAAACCGAGAATCTGTAAGTATAAAACAGAATCCTGAAACATTCAACTTCCGCTCAAAGAAAAATACGTTAAATATTTCATCAATGCATGGCCCGATATTGAGAATGCAGATTCATAGACGGCCTTTTCTTGCTATCGTTTGCATATATACATATAAAGCATGGAGGATAATAAGTAGAACATTAACAGTCTAGGATCTTAACTGCTAAAGCTGCAAAAACCTAATTCAATTAAGCATCGCGCTAAACTTCCCTGCTAACGCTTTAATCCTATAAAGGAGCTGTCCGAGTAAAGGGGGGTGCTGAAATCTGAAACAGGAGCCCCGAGTGGAAGCTGTTCTCTGCTGCTCTGCACCGCACAGCTTTTACAACCGCCTGTGATTTAGACGCTGACTCGAGGTCAGTCCCAGCTGCTCTGTATGCATGCTCGTACTCAAGCGGTGGAAACAACAGACCATTTGCATGCCCACTTTTTCGATTCCCCTCTTCGTCCTCTTCAACAACTGACACCATCACTTGTGCTGTCGCCATGGGGGGGGGAGGAGAGGTCGAGGAAGATAAAGTAAGGAGTAAAGATGAAGTGACAAGAGTGAGAAATAAGAAAAAAAAAGAAGAGAGATGAGAGAACGGGCAAGAGCAAGAGAGGTGCCTGATTAATGCAGCTTAAAATAACATGATCGGCTTCAGGCGTTAGCTCATCAAGAAGGTAAAGAGAGATGATGACGAGATGAAGAGTATCAGAAGGTGTTTCATGACAGTAAAAAGACGAGTTCAAGACTGTGTATTATGAGATTTCAGGAAGGATCGGAAACCCTGAAATAAACGTGTGTGTGTGTGTCGTCTTCAGGTGTGTTGAAACGAAGAGGGCGTAGGAGAGGGAGTGAAG